GGAAAGAGAAGGATGAGGCTTTCGGCCAGAAATGGAGAGTGCTTGACCTCCAAAGATGGAAAAAATATTACATCTGGACGTCTGCACGTCTGCACGTCTGGACGACCAACCGCTGAGCGCCATGTCACCCATCGCCGACGTGTATAGCGATGTGACGCCCGACGGTTGGTTGTCCGAAAGTGCGGTGTCCGAACATAAAATTTTCTCCAGAAGAAGAGGGGATATAATTAGATAGATTATTAAGTTTTATCATTTTATATATTTTTTATTTGGTTGTCCCATTTTGATTGGAGGAATTATTCAATGGAGCTTATGGGTGTACGGGTGTCGAGCAACAATTCAACAGGGATGAAAAGATCTCAATATTAAACACAATGTCACCCCTAATGTACTCCTTTCAACAAAAAAAGTGATTTCACCATTTGATAGACGTATCTAGGGATCTAAGTTTAGAGCATGATGTCAACCTAAATATTTGAGAAGGCTCCTTGTCTTAATCAATTATTCACTAAAAGAAATAAAAAAGATCACTAGCTTCTTTGGCATCAAATTCTTATTTATTTACATATCTAACACAAATTTTGATTTTTACATTTATATCACCTAAATCTCTCATATCACATGTCATATATTATCATTATTTTCAGTTTTAAAAAGTGAAGTAGACACACTTTCATATATATATATAAGGTGGTAAGTAAGTGAAAATTGAAATTTAGGTGTTAGATACGTAACTACATAAAACTTTAATGGTTTTTAAGTATTTTTTTCTTGAATTTAATAGAAAAAATATATTTTTCTTAATTTTAGTCTTAGAAAAAATTTTTATTTAGAAATTTTTAATTCATTAATTAGAATACGTGATTTAAGTTCTCTTTTTTAAAATATTACTTAAATCGGATATTTTGATGTCGTATCTACAAATGTCGGAGTCGTGTTTGCATTCGAAATGTGACTGACATTGCAATGCTCCTTAATTAGAATTGTCTATGCGCTTCATGAATAGTTGTCAACTCACTTGCCCTTTCCCTCTGCCCTATGTAAGAAATATGGGTTTATTTAAAATTTTTATAGGGGTATTTTGGTAAATATGCCCAACCTCATAAAACACTCCATCAGACAATTTGTATCGATTTCTTTGATAATAAATTATTTTTCATAATTTAAGTATCTTAATGACCTCAAAATTAAATGCTCTTGCACTCATTGGATTCCTCTCATCGAGCAACTCGACTATAAGCGTGCTAAATTTAGAGATTCTTTGACCTTTCAAGTAATGCATCAAAGCCTTGAAAAGACTTCAAGTATTTGATCTAAGGTTATTTAAACTCAGATTGGATCACTTTCAATGTCATCAGAATTGAATTATCGAGATGTTCAACCAAACTATAAATTTGTTAAAATTAAAACTTAGATGATCCCAACTTTGAATTTGGAAGATCGCTTACACAAAATATATCAAGCTTCTTGCTTGATCATATAAATTTCTTGAAAAAAGAGGCTTAACAAATTTATTAAATTTAATAGATTATGAATCTCCAAGTTGGCTCCAGAAAACTCAATAACATACTTCTTCAAAAGAATAAATTGAACCCTCACAACTTGAGCCAAAGGTTTTAGGACCATAGTTGCTAAAGCTTTGTAAGAGGAAGAGGAGGATCATCTCCAGTAGTAGCATCAGCTTTCAATTCTTCAACTTCACCGTCTTCCACTTAAAAATATATAGAACTTGTGCCTCTTGATAAGTGTTGAAACTACCAAATATATGCCATTGATAAGTGATTATGGACTCTTCCATCATTGGTGCTACTGAAATTCTTAATATAAAGATCCTAAATCTTAGTTGGGTTCCCCTTTATCTCCAAGGTTAAAATTAAAGCTTAGATGATCCCAAATTTGAATTTGGAAGATCGCTTACACAAAATGTATCAAGATTCATGCTTGATCATATAAATTTCTTGGAAAAAGAGGCTTAACAAATTTATTAAATTTATGAGATAATGAATCTCTAAGTTGGCTTCAGAAAACTCAATAACATACTTCTTCAAAAGAATAGATTGAACCCTTACAACTTGAGCTAAAGGTTTTAAGACCATAGCTGCTAAAGCTTTGTAAGAGGAAGAGGAGAATCATAATCACTGGTACTAGCATCATCTTCCAATTCTTCATCTTCACCGTCTTCCGCTTAAAAATATATAGAAGCACTTGTGTGTTTTGGTAAGTGTTGAAACTTCCAAATAAATGACATTGATAAGTGATTAACTCTTCCATCATTGATGCTACTGAAATTCTTAATATAAAGATCCTAAATCTTAGTTGGGTTCCCCTTTATCTCAAAGGGTATAACATTGCCATAATTTTTTCTTGGCCAATTGTGACCAAAATACAAGTATCATTGAGCCCTAGGACTACAGTTAAGGTGGTCTTCGTCGACGGACAAACAAAGGTTTCAAGTCCATCAAAATGAGGTTCCTTCTAGTCCATTCTAAAATTTTTGACAAAAAGGATGTCCAAGATGGTTTTATTTGAACAAAGAAGGGAACAAAAGTTTTGGTTACAAGGAGAAAAGAACTATGTGATTAAAGGGTCTCACTTGTCGGTCTAACGACAGTTAGCTTGGTCTTATCGGTCTAAGCGCAACGAGAATTTGAATTGTCATAAAAACAAAATTTTTGTTCAAAATAAAGGGTTGAAGTTTGGTTCATTCCATTCCTCCCTTTTCTCTTCTTTCCTAAATAGTGATTTACTAGCGTTGTTGATGCCTTTTTAAATTTCCTACATATTTAGCTTTTATTTATTTGCATGATGTTTTATATTCTATGATTTCCAGGGTTTTTATTTGTTATGATTTTATTTCTAACAGGAGATTCAAACTTTTCACAAAAAAAAAAAAAAAATATTTGCTTTCTATTCATCATCTTTACCATTAATTTGTCAAATGGTATAAATCTAATTGGTGAGATATCCATTGAAATTAATGAGAAACTAGAATAATGAACATATTTAGACGGTAGAGGCTTCATAGTTAGTAGAACAGATGCAGGGTTTACGATGTAATTGTAATGGAAATGGAGGTAATAATTGTCATGCAATATTATTATAAAGATAAGGTGATATATGGGCATGATATGTTTATCATTTTAGATCAATTATTTTAAAAAAAAAATAGAGCATTACATGAGAATATAATTTCTAAAATAGATGGTTTAAAGGGAAAATTCCCTGAAACATTTGGGTGATTAAAGATTATTATAACGGTTTAAAGATACATTTTATAAAATTACAATTAGATGGATAATATTATACAAAGCTGAATGTACGGGTGCAAAAAATCATTGATATCTAGGTTGAGCATTGTAGTCCGAGAAAGGAGTTAATAAAATAAGTGTGAGAGGATTAGATATAAAAAATACTAGGCGTAAGAGTACATGGATAAAGTTATTGAATAAGTTTATAACAAGTATCTTAACACTACATACAACATTTAATGGCAGCGGATGAAAAATTATGGTTAATAACACCAACCTCAAATAGTTGAGAAAAGGCTAATAATAACGATGATGATGATGACCTTTATAATTTCACTTTCTTAGAAGATTTCTATGGTTATTCTTCAATTTAGTGTATTAAACTAATTGCATCTCATCTAAAAAATCTATAAAACAAAAACTACAATTTTTCTCATTTAAGTAATCATACATGGATTAAAAATCCAGCATTTAAGAATATCCTGCATCAACTATGCCTGGCAGAACCAAAATTAAAAAGGAAAGGTGGCAAAATAAAAAATCATTTATAGGTAATTAAGTTTATAACTTTCCCTTTTTAAAACTTTTACAAATATTATAAATATGATTATTAAATTACAAATATAATTAATATTAAAATTTCCGTATATTATATAATATTAAAGAGTTTTATAAGAATTTAGATTGATGGTTTGTGCTACTTTTTGTGGAATCAAGATCACCTCCAATTTCCTTATCAACCATTTTTAAATTTCAATTTTCTTTCTCTCTTTTTTATTAATGTTGTCAATGCTCCTCTATCTAGGTTTTGATAAATACTCTACAAGAATGCTTGGTTCACAAGAAACTTCTAAAACCACCGTAATAAGACCTCCAGTTTTCCACTGACGAAACACACCATGGAAAAGCTGAAACAGATTGTTCAAAGTGAAGCTTTAAAATCCTAACAGCTCCATAAACAAGGCTCAGCAATTAAACTTATATTGGCAAAAATAGTGACGAAAATGAAATCTACTTCGAATAAAATCAGTACCTTCCATGAAGTATATCCACATTATCTTTGGTGGAATTTGGCCACATGTCGAGTTCAATTACTCTCACACCCCTCTGCAGAGCTTTGATGATCGGCACATCACTGCAATCACTGCTCAGTTGATTTCCAGTCAAATATGAATTATGGCCAGTATATATGAAATAGTGGGATAGAGGAGCACTCATATCTTGATGAACCTGTTATAGTAAGGTGTCACACTGGGAAAGAGTAAGCTCTATCTAAGAAAGCACAGCAATACCTTCATTTCATAATATAGATCGAAATAGGAAAACATTGAAGAAAAATTCACATGCATACCCTCTGTATTTACATATTTAGCACATACTTCAAGTTTTACATATAAATACCATCCTTCCTATGCATGAAGAGGTGTATTTAACTTTTTTTAAAAAAAATTACATGCATATCAATCAATTCTTATGAATTTACATATCTAACACAAAAAAAATAATTTTTACATACTAGCCTCTTTACCTGCATGGAGAGGTACTTCATTTTTTTTAAATTTAAAATAGTGGTACTTTCAGGGCAATATGAAAGGTTTGGTTGGTATACATTTAAAAATAAAAGTTTAGGTGTTTGATATGTAACTACATAAGAATAGGATGGTATGTATGTAAATGCCCTCTTTTTCAATTTAAAAAAGTGTATTTTTATGTGATATGAAAGATTTGGGCGGTAAAATGTAAAAAAGCAAAGTTTAGGTGTTTTGTATGTAAATGTATAGGAATTGGGCGGTATGTATGTAAATGCCCCAACATTAAAACTGATAAAAATTTCAGTTACAATTACAGTTCACTGTTTTTCCAGATTAAAGGGGTGTTTGGCTGCAAGTAGGATTAAAGTTAAATAGGGTTTAGTAAATCCTATAAATTCAGATTTATCAAATCTAAATATTATTAAATCCGAAATAATATTTTATTCAATTAAGATTAAATCCAGTTAAATCCATTTGATAAATTTGATTTAAATCTATTTGAAATATTTTTTTCTCAAGCTAAATCCATTATATCCAATTAATAAGTGGATTTAATGAATCCAAATTTAATAAACCGAACAAGCAAAAATTGGATTTAACTTAACGGCGGATTTATCTAACGTATTTATGTCGTTTGGTAGATTTACATTAAATACATATTTAAATCCAGTTAAAAGTATCCTACCAAACACCTCCTAAAGCTGAAACTTTATAGAAGAAAATGGTAAATTCAAATATTTCAATCCAAAGAACAGACAAATTTCCATCAATAACTGATTACATTGCTAATTTCAATCTTGTTAAAATTTGCATATAATGAGTAGCAAAAAATGTTAAGTGATATGATACACCTCGGCACCAAAATCAACGAAAAATCATGACGAAATCGCAATAGATAGATGGAAAAAACACAAATAAGAGCTGCTCTTACGAAAACAAATGAAAACAACAAGATACTATGGTGATCTACTTTTCAAGAGATAGATCGACTCTCCCACAACCCTAGACGTTGCTAGGAACACCACCAAACAAAAGAACATAGCAACCAATAAAAAACATGCATAAAAAGAAAAAAGCCCTGGGTTACTTCCTTTAATAGAATTTTCTCTCGGAAATTCCAAAATTTTCCTTCCAAGTCTTACCTCCAAACTCCTTTAATTTCTCTTCCTTAAATATGTGATTAAGGGCCTCGTGGATCCCCTTTGCTCCCTTCCTTCTTTTGTTACAGCACACCGCTCCTTTCCTTTTTTTGTCGCCCAATTCGCTTCTTCTCATGGGCACGTGCCCACCTGGCAGGTTGGGAGATGTTTGACCGGTTCACAACTAGGCGGCATAACAATACTTCTTTCCCAAGGACGTACCTTAACCTCAAGGTGGAAGGATAGAAACTGCTTGTGGATCACCTCCATGTTGCTTTATAGTCTAACAATTCTTTCCACTTCACCAATACCTCCTTGGATCCCCCCAACTCCTCGGTGCACTCATTCGATCTCTAGCGGCTTTAGAATCACTTTCAAATCCTTCGTCAGTGTTGGAGGTAGCGTAGACGAGGGTTTATGATATCCAATCTCACGTCTCAGCTATGATACATAGAAGAGCGTGTGTAGTGCAGACGATTGTGGTAACTTCAAACGGTAAGCCGCTGCCCAGATGCGTGTCATCGTCTCATAAGGCCCAAAGTATCGCAATGGCATTTTCTCATTTCTCCTCCTGGTTAATGTCCTCTGTCTGTAGGACCTCAGTTTCAAGTTGAACATGTCTCTTAGTTCAAATTACGTCTCTCTCCTGTGTTTATTTGTCTTCCTCTTCATGATTTATTGAGCTCTCAATAAATGCCCCTTGAGCTATGTTGGGATCTTGTCCGTCTCCTCTAGGTACCGATCGACGTTGGATACTGGTGTGGTACTTTGCCCATAATGTATCAAGTGAGGTGGATCTCGTTCATATAATACTTTAAAAGGGGTTGTCTGTGATGCGGTGATGAACGAAAGTATTATACCAATATTCAGCCCAAACAATCTATTTAACACATAGGTCAGGTGTATCAGATACAAACGAGGGCAGGTATGTCTCCACACTCCTATTGACCACCTCCATCTACCCACCAAGCTGGGGATGATATGCGGCGCTTCTCTTAAGGATTGTCCCTTTCAACCTAAATTGCTCCCTCTAGAAGTGGCTGAGGAGCACCTTGTTCCTATCTGATACAATCGATTCTGACACCCCTGCAGACGAACTACTTCCCGGATAAACACCATCTTGACTAAGGCAGCAATGTAAGGATGTCATAAGAGAATAAAATGTGCATACTTAAGCAATCCAAAACCACCATAATCACCGCGAACCCTTCTAACCGTGGCAATCCCTTGATAAAATCCATCGTTATTTCTTTCTAAACCTTCTCAGATATTACTAATAGTTGCAGTAAACCCCGTAGTGTTGTGGTCAATTACTTATGACGCTGACACATCACATTTTGTCACCATGTCCTCCACGTCTTTGAGCATCCCCACCCAAGCTCTGCCGCTAGACGATTGTAGGTCTTGTGCACCCTCGAATGACCCCCGATGACACTACCATGAAACTCTCATAAAAATCTAGAAATATAACCTGACAACTTGGGTAACGCAAATCGCCCCAAGTGGAGCAGTTGTAGTCCCCTCAATGCATATCTCGGATGATTGTTTAGATCCTATAATAATTCAGTCCTTATTGTCCTCAGCTCCTCATCTTTCGCTCTCTTGTCTCAAGGCCTCCCAATCTAGGACCAAGGGTACGAATAGGATTGTCAATTGGGGTTCCTCCATCTTTTTCTACAGTGCGTCAGTTGTAATTATACCCCAATATCTTTGTTCTCAAATCCTGGCCTATACTGAATCTCGAAATTATACTCCAATATCTTGGATAGTCATCTCTGATGCTCCTCAGTTACCATTCGCAGCTCCAAAAAATAATTTAAACTCCTTTGATCTGTCCTGACCAAGAAATGTCGTCCCAACAGGTAGAGCCACCACTTATGAATGGTCGAGACAATTGTCATCAATTCCCATTCATAAACTGACTTTAGTCTCGCTCTGGTTGTAAAAACCTGGCTAAAATAGGCAATCGATCGTTGATCCTACATGAGCACTGTTGTCAATCTGTATCCTGATGCATTCGTCTCCACCACAAATGCATGTGTGGTTGTTTCCCCCCAATTAAAATTGTCTTTCTTCAACTGCTCCATCAATGGTCATGCCATTGCGTCATTTCCTCTCACGAACTTTTAATAGCAGCCTGTGAGTCCCAAGAATCCTCTAAACTCCTTCAAATTTCTTGGTAAAGGCCAATCAACCATAGCCTCGATCTTGGACTAACCCACTACTACCCCTGTCCTAGTCACCGCATATCCTAAGTACAACTGAGGCTCCCTCAACGTCTCCAAGGCTATCTTCAGGTGCCCCATATGCTTTGTCTCTATACGACTGTAGATCAGGACATCATCAAAGAAAACCAGGATAAATTTTCGGAGATAAGGTTGAAAAACTCTATTTATGAGGGATTGAAATGTTGTCGGTGCGTTGGTGAGGCCAAATAACACCACTAAAAACTCATATTATCCTTAATGTGTCATGAATGTTGTCTTGTGCACATCCATTGGCTTCATCTTGATCTAATGGTACCCTTACTTACGAATAATTTTTGAGAAAATGACTGTTCTACAAAACTCATTTAGAAACTCTTCAATCACCGGAATAGAAAATTTGTCCAATATCATTTTCTTATTCAAAGCCCGGTAGTCCAAGCAGAATCTCCAACTACCATTTTTCCTCTTCAACAACAGGACGAGACTGGAAAAAGAGCTCACAGTAGGTCTGATAATCCTAGCCCTGAGCATCTCCCGGATCAGTTTCTCTATCTCATCATTCTGAATCCGGTGGGACCTGTATGGTCTGACGCTGATGGGAGAACCCCTTCATCAATGTAATAGTGTGCTTGTGCTCCCTCCGAGGTGGTAATCCGCTTGGCTGCTGGAAAACATCAATAAACTGTCATTGCAGCTGTTGAACCCTCTCCAGAAACTCTACCAACTCTGAATCTCGAACCTCCTCAATGCTCCACAACTCCACCATGGTTTTGCAGAAGCCATCATCTCCTCTCAACACCACATTCCTACCCTCCATTTGAAACTCCATCGTCAAGGACTTCCAATCCACCTTCATCCCTCCCAATGTTTGCAACCACTTCATCCACATAATCACATCTGTGCTACTCAAATCTAAAGGAAATAATCTTCCACCAACTACATGTCATGTAGTGTCAGAACCAACCATTTGCAAATTCATTGACTTTTCTCCACCTTCCATATCCCCATCATGATGTCAAAGCTCCATCTAGTCACCAGTTTCAGCCCTAACTTCTCCACTACTTGATTTGTGATAAAGTAATGTGTGGCCCTACTATCGACCAACACCACAATTGATTTTTCCCTGATTCATCCCCTCACCTTCATGGTGTGATTCGGGGTAAATCCCACCACCGCATCAAGGAACATCCCCGCCACATCCAAATGTGGATTGTCCTCCTCTGTTGTTTCCTATTTTGATTCCTCACTCTCTGTATTCTCCTGTACTAAAAGAACCCGAAGGGCGCGCTCCTTGTCACAATGTCCTGAAGTGTATTTCTCGTCATAGAGGTAACACAATCTTTTGGCTAGTTTTTCTTGCACTTCTGCATCTGTGAGGCGCTTGAATTTACTCCCGGGTCGGGGTCCGATACTCTTCTCCTTCAGGTGTCTCTTTCAGAAATAACACAATATGGGTACTCAATATCGTAGTTGGCACGGTACTCTTGTAGAATACCCAAGGTGTTGGCGCTTTTGCCAGTTTTCTTCACATGTTTCCTATCCTCCATAATCTGGGCAAACTCCATCATTTCTCACAATCCACGTGGTCTCAAGGAGCGGATGACCGCTTGTATGTCGGGCTTCAAGCCTTTCAAGAAATTTCCTTCCAAGCCTGCTGCAGAAATCCCCAACGTCCCTGACAAAAGCTCGAACTTCTCTTAGGACTCCATAACCGTCATCTCCTGAATCAGAGCATAGAATTACTCGTGTAAGTCTTCTTCCTGAATGACTCGAAGACGTTCCAATAAGCAATCCTAAGACTCCTCCCAAGAGTGTATCAGATACATTGCCTCCATCCGCTGGAACTGTGCTAAAGTCTTCCACTCCAAGCATAATCCCGCTGTCATGAGCTTCTCTTCACCAGTCAGCCCGTTAATCGCAAAGTATCGTTCCACTTGATACACTCATCCATGTGCACCCTCCCTTTCAAAGATTGGCATCTTCAGTTTTTTGATCCTTGCTTCTACACCCCAACTTTCCTCTCCCTTCGGAATTTCCCCCATGTATCTAGGGTGAAAGTCCCTCCTGCAGTCATAGGCATATCCCACTCCCGATTCCCGTCTTCCTCCATAATACTCTTCCGTCCCCTTCCACCTTCCATTTTCCAATTTTCAGCCCATCCCCCTCCTCTCGGGGTCCCAGGAGGATGCTCTTGTAGGTAGATGATGTCTTCTTCATTGTCTTCTCGCTCGATCTCCTTTCCCTTTGACCTGACCAAAGGTCCCTAATCAACCCTTGATTAGGGTTTGCCACTGGAGCGATCGACATGGCCTTGAATTGCATCTCCATGAGCTTTTTCGTCATCTCCTGCATTTCCCCCATGCCTTCAAATCCATCATTCATTTGACTTTCAATAGAAGAAAATATGTCCTATGTGGTAGCAAACCTTTGTTCCATTCTGGATAGAATTTGCTCCACCTCTCATTCTAGCACATTAACTTTCTTTGTTGTCATTCCACCAAGATCTATGCTCTGATACCAATTTGATATGCCTCGACAAACCACGATAAAATCGCAATAGATATGTTGAGAAATACAAATAAGGGTTGCTCTTACAAAAACAAATGAAAATAGCAAGAAACAAAGGTGATGTACGTTTTGAGAGGTAGATCGACTCTCCCATTGCTAGGATCACCACCGAACAAAAGAACACAACAACCAACAACAAACATGCATAAAAAAAACAAGCCCTAAGTTACTTCCTTTAATAGAATTCTCTCTCAATAATTCAAAAACTTTCCTTCCAATCCTTCCCACCAAACTCCTTTAATTTCTCTTACATGGATATATGATTAAGGCCCTCGTGGATCCCCTTTGCTCCCTTCCATTTTATGTCGCAGCACCCTGTTCCTTTCCATTTTCTGTCGCCTACTCCGCTTCTTCTCGTGGACGCATCCGACCCGCTTGGCCACTTGGGGGATGCTTGATGTCCAAACAATCAAGTATGAAATTACAACCACATCGCAATAATGATCGCTAAATGACAAAATGAGTATTAATTTTGGGAAATCAGAGCATATCGTTGAACAATCAATTTAATTTCTGTTTTTAACACCTTTGCGAGAAAGTCGAGGTCAAATTCTCTCAATTTTTTTTTTCTGTGGAGTTGGTGCATTTACAGTCAAACCATACAATTCTTATGTATTTACATATCTAAAGCCTAAAATTTTGTATTTATATTTGTAAAACTCAAAACATTAACATCACAACAAAAACACAGACCTTAATAATTTTTTTAAAAGTGAAATACACGTTTTCATGCATAGATTTATGACACCTAAGTGTTATAAGTATAAATATCAAACTTTAGGGGTAAGAAACATAAATACATAAGAATGGTGTGGTATTATTATGTGTTTACATATCTCACACCCAAACTTTCATATTTACACAAATAGCCCTCAATTTTATAATATCACATAAAAAATAACAATATTATCAATTTTTAAAAGTGCACTACACTTTCTCATGCATAGGCTTAAAGCACCAAAATGCTATATATGTCAATATGAAAATTTATTTGTGAGATATGTAAATACATAAGAATTATGTGCTAACTATATAAATTGACCTTTTTTTCTCCCTTAATGCATTTTTTGACATAACATGGTTTGCTCTTTTTCAGTCCACCCTACATGCATTCATATAGAGAAAAAGCAAACACCAAGCCTAGTTATAACCTTCCTAAAATGACTCTGTTCGTTTCCATCCCATATTAAACAAGAATTAACTACACCAATTTATATATCAGGAAACCAATTTAAATGCCAAAAAATAATTGGAGTAGATTAAAATTTTGGACAAGATTATTTAAAAATTGTTAATTTATTTTAAGTTGAGTATTATATAACAGAAATTACTTAAAATATCTATCACAGTCATTTCAGAATAATAAAAAAAAATCGAAATTCATATGAGCAAAAAAATTGATCAAAATACTATAAGCCGAAATTTGCTGTAAATTCCAAAACAACTATTTGGTTATTATGAGATTTAGTCAAGATTTAGAAAAAATAAGGCAAAATTCTATCAAAATCAATTTAACGCATCTATAAGTTACTAAAATCTGAATTTTCAGAATTTATTGAATCCTAGATGGAGTCGGAAAGTCGGACCTGAGATTGGATCGGCGGGTTGAGTTCATCGGAGAACAGATAATGATACAAGTCCTGAAGAACAAAAATCTGCCGTGAAACCTTGCCTGATTGTCGGCGATGCGGCTGCTGCAGAATCTTCTCTATAACCTGCTCGACATCATCGTCTCCCTGCATCTCATTCAAGAAGCGTCGGAGCTGTTCCGGACCAATCTGACCCCTTTCGTCGGCGAGTGCATCGAATGCCGCCTTCAGATCGGCCGGCGGGTCCGCCTCATCCCACCGGAACTTTCTCGTGAAGCAGCAGCAGTACTTGTAACTCCCCATTTTACTCTCGATCGTCGCGCCTTCAATTTCTCCAGTTCTTGATCAACTTTATTGATTAGGTGTTATAAATGGGCATAAGAGCTTCGATGGACCGGGAATGGTTGGGGTTTTTGCGCTGGTAAAGAAGCAGGATTAGGGAGGGAAGTAGCATAAGTTCTCCTCCAAATCAATTGAGTCAAGAAGCACGCAGATAGCCAGGTCGTATTAGGGATCGCGTCATTCCGCTAGCTCTTATTATCGCTGTCGACATTGGACTCTGCTCGCGTTGAAGAAGAGGAGAAATCGCTCGCAGCAAAAGCTCAAAAAACACGACGACGAAGAAGACGACGGTACACGTTCGTCTGTTGCAAACAGCTATAAGTTAATATTTAAAACCGGGTCTGCTAATGGAAAAACTACAGGGCCAATTACATAAAAAATTATTCGACACGATACTATGCGGTATTCGATATCCACCGTTCATCACAGTGAAGATATATTTTGTTAGACCTCATTTTAAATTTGTTTAAGAAATTCTATGATCAACGATGGAGATCCGACACCGCATGCATTTCGTATGAAATAATTTTTCCAATTACATGAATAAATATTACATCTGAACTCCGGACATAGAGATACGTTCAACATCCAATGAAATCAAGCCACGTGGAGGTGAAAGAAAAATAAAAAAATTTGTTTTAGCACATGAGAATATTTTCCCCGTGTTATTGCACATTATTCAGGTGTTATTGTGGTATTATTTATGTATTATTTTGTTCTGTGAATATTCCCGGTGTTATAATAATACAATAACACATCAATACTACCACAATAACACCTGAATAATACGGAAGAGATATTCCACTGTGTTACTGGGTCGGATCACAAGAAAACGAGTTTTTTATTTTTTCTATCAGCTCTACGTTGAGGTGATTCATTGGACTCCAAACGCATCTCTACATATGTAATAATTTTTCCAAGACCACTAGAAATTTGGTATTTACAAATCAATACCTCTCTTTCATCCAATTTTCAAATTCCCACTCGGATATCATAATTCATTGTAGAAGCCCAACTTATATTTACATTTTTATCAAATTCTCAATATGCTGGGCATGCTAAGTACATCGGCTCGATAGTTTAAAAAAATAGCGTGGATGATTAATTTATAAATCTTAATATTTTAAATGATCTGTATGTAATTATATAATAATATTGGGCATGATTATACACATATTATACAATAGGGTATTATAATATTGTATATGGACTCCGAATACATACAAACTCCATAGATAATATTCTCTACTAGCATTGAAGTAGTCTAAATATTCATATTGTGTAATATGGGCTTTTATCTTCATATCAATCAATTCTTTAGTATTTATATATCTAACACCAAAATTTTAATTTTTTTTTATATTTACAACACTTAATTAATTCATATCACATAACAATATCAGTATTTTAATTTTTAAGTAAAATACATCTTTTCATGCATATATTGAAGAGATATGTATCTTACATAAATTCATGACAGATATGTAAAAATTGACTGTCATGCAATTAATTAAGTGTATATTTAATTGACTGTCATGAAGAGATATGTAAAAATTCATGACAGATATGTAAAAATTGACTGTCATGAAGAGATATGTAAAAATCTTTTCATGCATATATTGAAAAGATATATACAATATCTGTCATGCATAAATTCATGACAGATATGTAAAAATTAAAGTTATTACATAAAAATTGACTGGCATGCATGTACATCTACCTATATTGAAGAGATTTGACCTAAAGTTGCCACTAAAAAAAACTTTACTCATAAGACCTCATTTATAATTATTATTACATATTATTGTTACATGATATTTGAAAAAGTTATAGTTCTCAGGGTATGTTTATGGCAGCGGTGCGGTGTGCGGTGCAGCACCACACCGCACTTTTGTATGTTTAGGTAAATTGTGTTTTGTCGGGCTTTTCAAAAAGCTACCTTTGAAATTTACGTTTTCCCACAACTGTTGGTTAGATGTGATGGGAGCTTTCTAGGTATGATTTGATTTTTTAAAAAAAAAATTTGTAATTGCCGTCGCAATTTTTTTGAACATTAGATTATTTTTCAGCAGCTTCACAGCTACTTTTTAATAAGCTTCAGCTACCCCAAACAGACCCTTATCATTGAGTTTCAAGATTGGATATGATTTCTATAAAAGTTACAAGATTGGATATGGTTTGTCAATACTTCATCGAATCCTAATTTTATTTATGTCAAATTCATCACTAGGATTATATATCTTACACAATTAATAAGCAAATGATGATTTATAATACATATATATATAAATATATTTAAGATATCATATGAACATTATATATAATACTGAGCTACTTAAAATATCTATAAAGTGTTTGATATTATATATCTATTGTATGTTAATATCACATGAAAAAATCTAATTTTTTGTATATTTTATTGTTCTAATTAGTGGCTAATATAAGTTATGACCCAACTAATATGCAAGGCATCTAATATGACTTAAACATTAATATGGAGTAGTTATGATATGATTATTAATTTATATTTTTTAAGAGTAGGAAATAAGAAATCATGCAACATATGCTTAAACATACATAAAGAATTGATGATCATGCATTTTGGATGGCCATTTACTTGCATACCAACTAATTCCTATGTATTAAATATTTTATACCTAAACTTTATTTTTTTTACATTTATACCGCCTACATCTTTAATGTCACATAAAAAAATATCATTATTTTAGATGTTAAAAAATGAAGCACATCTTTTCATGTAGAGGGAAGATAGCATTTGTGTAAAAATTGAACTTTAGGTATTAGATGTGTAAATACATAAGAATTGGGGGGTATAGAAGCATGTAAGTCTTTCAAAAATATAATGCAGCTCACAAGCTTTTGATAAAGGATTAGAACTATTGATGAGAGCTTTCAAATAATGAACAACTTTAATTTTTGAGATTTGGAATGAAAAATTACTCAGAAATTTTGAAAAATTAATTTTGCAAGAACTTGAAGTTTTAAAATTTCTAAGGTTTTGTTGAATCTAAAAGTGCTCGGGAAACGTGCTCCACTAAAATAGAAAGTTCAACTAGGAAGTGATTAGGTAGAGAGAGAGAGCACAGCAGGGAACGATAAAAGAGTGTGTCATTTATTCAAGACATGGACCCTTATTTATAAACATAGGCCCTGACATTACAAAAGTACAAATTATCCTCCTCATCATTAACTTTTCAGGGGGACTTTTTGATAATTACAAAGTTATTCAAATATAACAAGACCAAGGACTGATTCGATCAATGAGAGTTGTCGATCGTTTGGTAAGTCTTGACTCGATCATTACTTAGTCCGAAAAAGTGCTCCCTGTCGATTGTCGTGAAAGCTAAGTACCGCCCTGTGGGAGCTTATCCTGGCTCCTCCCGCCGATCATTCGAACAAAACACTTCTATTGCCAATATTCAGACAAAAAACAATCATCGAAAGAACTATTCGATCGATAACATCTTCTTCTTGAGCCGTTCATCAGCTTGAGATTTGTGCTGATATATTTTTATATATGCATATCAGTTTTCTGATTCTCTTACTCCTCGGAAGCTGTACAATACACAATGATAAAAGAATCTTTTTAACATGTATGAAATAGTTAAATGATCTTATTGCACAATAATTGACTTCCTTGGATTTCTTGTCTTGGCTATTATAAATAGGATTTAGAGTAAGGGAGGTTCGAACCGTCTCTGTTTCTTCTCGCTTCTTTGTCTTGTGTCCTTCTCTTTTCGTGTTTTTGTGATGTCTGGCGAAGGAACGCTGTTTTCTGATAAGAGTGTCCTCCTTAAAACCATGAGTGATATGTGGGCGTAGGCTCGTAAGTTGGACGTGAAGCGTAAGACAGCGGGTGAGATATCCAATGAAGGGATGAGTAGGAAGAGAGTTGTGCCCAAGACAGGAGTCGTCAATCAGAAGAGCCAACCTAGTTCTTCTTATTTTCTTGCGTGCTCCCCCCAGGAGAGGGCTGCAGAGCAAGCTAGAGGTCGTTCTGGCGATTCTCTTATGGGACACTTGCCAGGGGTGAGTGTTCCACTGTGAAAGAGATTGTCCGTCAAGGTGGCTGCAAGGGAGGGGGGGCTGCGATTCCCCATAAGGGTTCTAAAAAGACAGCTGCTGAGGCTGAGACTTGGTTTCGATTGACTAAGAGCAGTCTTTCATTTGAAGGGGGAGGACAAAGGAAAGGCAGTGAGGTGATTTTTTCTTACACCTCTTCTAACTGGGGGCGGATTCTTGGTATGTAGCTTGAATTGTCTTTTGCGTCTTTTTTTTCCTAGTGCAACAACTAAAGTTCTGACTGTTGATTTTTTATCGATAGATACTGATGTTGGTCCTGAGGATGATACGACAGTTGTGGATCAGGTTGTGATCGAGGGAGTGAACACGGAACAAGTTGACGCGGAGAGAGGGGGTTATGGTGTAACTAAGCGCACTGGAGCAAGGTGTTGAGCGGGATGTCGGGGATCAATGTGCTGAAGATCAGGGTCCTGAGGTTAGGGTGTTGGAGGCCAAGGTGTGGGCCATCAGTTTTCTTCCAGTGCAGCGAGGGAGGAGGAGGTGATCAAGGGGACGCAGTGTGTCCTCTGACTTCATACTTCGCCGCCTTGCTAAGATGGAGGAGCATTTTCTTTATTTTATTGAGTATCCTCGAGAAGATTGTGACAGAAAAGTTACTAAGGTTATTGAGAGAGTCGACCAGGTGGAGAGAAAAGTTGTTGTACTGAGCGAGAACTTGCGGTTTTTTAGAGGGGGAGAGGGGAGATGCTTGCCAATATTGGGTAAGTGACGCGTCTATGTTTGAAATTGTCAGCTGTTAGAGAGTCCCTCACCGCTCAACTTAGAGATAGCCATAATAACCTTTTCAGGCTGGGTGGCGAGTTTATGTATGAATGTATCATTGGATAATAACATTAAAATACATTTAATATGTTGGCCATTAGGTTTTATTAAAAATTATAGGAACTTTCAATCCTAAAATTACATAATATATTTGCATATTAATCATCTCAATTACATATGTATTGTCATTAAAATAATCTCATAATTAACATTGATTAATGGATCATTAGAATCCCTTTTTGTTTCTTATCTTTATTATTCATGTACATCATGTACATCTTTTTTTAGGGTTAGCTCAGGTTAATATGTGAAATTCGAACCCGCGATCTCATAGTGGAAGACTACACTTTCAACCATGATGCTACAAATAACTGCACCATGTACATCTTAAATAACACTATTGACACTTAATATTTAAAATATTATATTCACTAATAAAAAATCATTATTTTAATTAATTTTTTATGAGTAAAATGCCAAAATAGTCTCTGACTATTTTACATGAGGTTGTTTTAGTCCCGGGGTTTATAGAAATGTTAAAATAGTGCTCAACTCTTTTAAACTTGAGCTCTCATAACACTCTATGAAAATAATTTTCAGCCTAATTGAAACAGTTTGGGTACTATTTTAACATTTCTATAAAATCTCGAAATAAAACTACCCAATGTAAATAGTCAAGCATTATATTAATACTTTACTCAAAATTTTATCATCAAACATCTAAACTTCCGTATTTATATGCATAACCCTCAAATCTTTATCGTCGTATAAAAAATATTATGAATACTTACTTTTTAAAAGTGAAATATACCTTTTACACTTACGTTCATGACATCAAAATTCGTAAAATGTAAAAAATCAAAATTTAGGTGTTTGCATATGTAAATATAAAAAAAATTGTGTGCATGCATGTAAAATACCCTTCATTCTAGTGCACCTATCTAACAAATGTATAAATAGGATCTCAAACCATGATCTCTTAGTTGGAATCATACATTTCAAAATAGGAGCTAAGGTGAGCTACTATCTCATTTCTCAATCAATAAGTTAGTCTTTTAATACCCAATGAATGGCACTTGTTTTACTTTAATCCATCCAATAGGAGTGGGTGAGCTAATTCAAATAGAATTACAACTAGCATTTATTTTATTAGGAAAATTCAATTATTATATAAAATATTCCACTTATCTATAGAATTAAATTAGAAAATAAAATAGCATTATGGTTAGAATCATAATTTTTTTTTTGTATTAATGATTTTTTATTTATTTTATTAGAATCATATTAACTATATAACCACATGTTAATTAGAACATTTAAGAAATTTGCCCCCCATTAGATATTTTCTAAATTATATTCATCAATGTATATTTACTATGTTTAATGTGTCCTTTTTCAACAACCACTTCTTATCCATAGCCATTATTTTATTACTCCATATATATATAAAGTGATTTAAATGTTATAATAATAATAATAATATTTTCATTCATTCAATATATAATATTATAATTTAGGATGCTTTACTCATGAGTACATTAAATATGACTAAATAAAATTTTTAAAAATATATATTTTATTTTTTTATTATTTAATCTATATATTTATTTGGGTCAAATGATTAAGGTTAAAAAGTAAAAATATTTAACTTTTAAAATCTATTTAAAAAAATTACTTATAAAATTAATTACTTGTGTTTCTATTTATTTTAATATTATTAAATTAAATTCGTCACATAAGTGGTCAACACATATATATATATATATATATATATATATATATATATATCATTAAATACTTATTAAAATAGACTTTATATTTGAAGATATATAAAAACTTAAAAATTGAATGATATATATGAAAATGCCCCAAATTTTAAATAAATTTGAATAATCAAACCATATAAAAAATATATAAATATATTTTTTTGTATAATTTAAATATTTAAATAAAATTTAAATATTAGGATAATTTCCAATTCCAACGCGAACAAACGAAGAGACAAAATTTTCACCCTCCCCCACTAATAATAATTATCAGTCAATAAAAAAACAAGTGGCAGTTACATACATCCCCCCAAAACTTGCTATTTACAAATCTAACCCTCCTATTTCGGAAAACTTTTGCGTTTATTCAGAGAATATAAGTGTTACATCTGTGTTATCACCCCATAATCTCCCTGTAACTTGTACCTCCAGATTTATAGAAACACGAAATTTATTTGTAGGTTAAATGTGAGTTATAGTAAGATTACAAGAGGTATAACCCAGATATAACTCCCTGTGCCCTCTGAATAACATCCCGACGTACGAAGCTCTGGGTACGTCTTTTCACCTGGGTAGTAAATTTGTAAATATCAATACTTCATCTGGGTACATATGTAATTATCATACCTCCGCCGCCGCTCAAGCATCCGCGCTCGCCGGCGGCGCGTCGCCTCTCTTATCCCTATCCTTCTTCCTTCCAAACTCATGAACTCTGAGATGCAGCTCCGCCGCCGCAATAAGAAAATGCACCGCCTGTATCGGCCGCAGTATCTCCACCAATCCCTTCAACGTCTCAATCCTCAAAAAATCCGCTTTTTTCAACACCTCCTCCATGGCCTCCTTCTTCCCCTCCATCTCCTCCTCCATCTGCTCCACCCCACCTCCCATCACCGTCATAACATGACAAAGCTCCACCATTTCCTCATCCGCCGCCTTCTCCTGCGCCGAAGCCTCCTCCTCTGTTATCTCCTTCTCCCGCTTCAACGTCCCCTGGTGCAGTTTATCAATACGGTGGAGCTGCTCTGCATCAACGTCGGCTAGGTTCCATGTTATCGCGCCGCCGATGAGGTCTTCGAGGTGGGATTCCACTTGGATTCCGCACTTGGAGTAGAGGAGGTGGAAGACCATGGAGGGACGCCAGCCGCCGCACCAGAGCAGGAGGTTTTCGGTGGAACTGGTCCATGAGGGGGTGAACATGGGGAGGACGTTGCGGCGAGCGGAGGCTTGTTTGGCTTGGTAGTAGTCTTCGTAGCGGCGGAGGACGGCAGAGACGAGGGGGCGGAGATGGTGGTTTTGGGCGGCGGCTTCGTCGGGGGTGTGGGGGGGAGGAGTGGAGGCGGTGAGGAGGGAGTTGAGGTCGCGGTTTTGTTCGGAGAGCCAGGTTTCGAAGAAGGAGGCGAAGTCGCCGGAGTGGTGGCGGTGGTCGCCGTTGACGGGGGAGGAGGGGGAGGAGGACATTGGTGTTGGAAGGGTAGAACAGGGGAGGCGAGGCTTCGGCCTGAGGGAGGGGACCGATGGGTTTAATATAAGGATGCGGTATTGGTGAATCTGTGGGCTGAAGTTTGTTTTATTTCCTTTCTTTTTTATTTTTGGGGTGGATGTATAAATTACAAATTAATAACATTTAAATTTTATAAATTTTAAAATATAATATAAAATTTGAAATGTAATATTTTAAACATTTAAATTTTAAAATATAATATAAAATTTTAATTTTTACATACTTATTTTTGTATGAAAAATGATTTATATAAGTATAACAAAATAAATTTAAGTGTCAGACGTACAAACTCATAATACATGAAGGGGTATAAGTTAGGGCTACCATAATGGCTCGTTTGCTAACAACACATATTTGATTCGTTGAGTAGTTCATGTTCAATTTATTCGCTATCCGATTAAGATGAACACAAACCTGACAGTTGATAGATAAGCAAACTTAGCGCACTTTTGCTTCCAAAAAAACATAGGTAATCCCGGAAGTGAACTATGTCAAGCCCGTTTGTCTGCCCTAGCCATAAAAAGGAATCTCTTATGTTGAAGCGAATGATCAAACTGACATCCCCCTATGCGGCTCCCCTGCCATTCCAGCCAGATAAAGCAATGAGTCAGAGGAGGAACATGAAAAAATGACAAAACAAAAACTACTCATCTAGCGTCTTGTTAAAGCCCTCGGTAGGTAGTTCTTCCTCCTAAGCTACAATTACAAAAAAATTTTCATTCGTGCTCAGTTAGTATTGGATGGAATATATATATATATATATAATATTAAAATGAATATTTTAATTGTTTTATCCAAATTTGACTAGAGTAAACTATTTTAACATTTATTCATGAAATGGACCCTAATTTATAGAGCTGAGATAATATACAATTACATAATGTACCTTCAGTGTACGGAGATACGTCAGATGTATTTGAGACAATACATGAATAATAGGCCATATAGGGTCAGGATCTTAAAAGTTCCCGGCTAGACAGTGACGGGTAGGCTCCCTGCCAGACAGGGTCGAGACTCTTAAGCGGTCTTGTCGAACAGAGTTGGGCACCTGTATTAGCCTCCCACCTGACTTCATTTTTGGTCTGGCAACTGTTTGCTGGGGGTCCGTTTTTTTTTTTTTTTTTTTTTTTTTTTTTGAGAACTCATCCCTTTGCAGATTGAGTGGATAGCTCCGACCAACTATTTTCAGGTCCGAACGATTCATTTCACTCATTCAACTGAAGCAAAGAAAGATGTCAAATATATCCGTAGGGTTCATCTGCAAGTAAGGTGATTTTCTCCTATTTTATGAGAGCCGGTCGAGGAGGCTCCGACGATCCTGTCTTTCTTTACTACACGTAAAATATTCTCAAGATTTGTGCTGACACATTTAAAATATATTAATATAAATAATAATATTTCAACCTTTATTCTTAACATGCAAGAATTACAATTATTAGAAGTAGCTTCCGGAGGAAGGAAGGGATTTTGTGCCACGAATTTCAAGGGGGTGACATCGTCTCTGGCACACTATTAAATCTCATTTACTTTCTGTCATCCCCGCCGCAAGTGGGAACAGTTGATAAGTTCATACCGTCACCGCTTACGATAACCGGAAGATTGTGGCAGGCTCTGTCGGAAAGCTTTGCCACTATCTATCAATTTATAAGACGGAGGTAACAATACCTGAAGTACTGCAATCCAAGTCAAATCCTACCGAGTTGTAAGCCCAATTTTAAAAACTCTTTTTAGGCCAAATAAAATTTAAATTTGATTACTTTAATGCCGCACAATTTCGACATCATTAAGGTATTTAAACGTCCATCAAATAATAACGATCGATAGAATTTCTCGGCGTCGTCAAATGGAATGATCTGAATTCCTTCATTCTGTGAAGAATGACCTCTTCCACACTCTATAAATAAAGCTCTACCTTCCTCTAAAGAAATAATAGACTTAGATCTTGAGTCGAAGAAAGACTGAAACTTGTGGAATGAGTTGAAGTTCGTATCGCTTCTGCACCGCGGATCCGAAGAATATCTCCCGCTTTTCTGTAATCCACCGTGGACTGTCATCGGTTGTCCTTCAGGCCTTGCAGTAAAACTCCGATCGTAGTCAAAGTTTGCACTGCAAAGCGATGAAGCAACAATTGCCGCCACATAGTCAAAAAACATTCTACAGAACAATGCATCATCCTAAACATTACGCTAACCTTGAAAACAATGTATTAAAGCACTAACATTCACTACCCGCTACAATCACTCCCTACTACGGGGCAATAACCTCTTATGTGCAAATTCGTTATAACTCAAAAAAACTCTGTAACTATTTCTTACCTATGGGGCAATGGCATAAACATGTCATCACTACTCTTATAGTGAATCATTTCAATTTGCTTAGGCCCGTGGTTTTTCTCTTTATGGATTTTTCGCATAAAAACTTATGGTGTTTCTACTCATTATCATTATTACTTGAGTATATGTCAGATTCTCATATAACGTTAAGACGATAACTCATTACCCCACAATCATGAATTCTCTAACTTGCATCAGTTATATTATAGATTTAAAAAAATAAAAATAAAAAAAGAATTTTGAAGTGATATAAAAAAATTGTGATATAAATATATAAAATAAAATAAAGATATTAGATATGTAAACAAATAAGAATTAATAATTAAAGATTTCTTGAAGAAATTAAGGACCAAGACAACAAATGTTACAAACAATGGGAAGTTTCTCATTCAATTTCATATGGATGTAGGCTATTGTCTACTTATTAGATATTTTAGGCAATTAACAATTAAAGAATGGGTATTTACATACTTTTTTTCTTAAGATAAAAAAGAAATTACATTAAAATGTTTTTAGAGAAAATAAGAACAACAAAAAATAATGGAAAACAAACCAAATAAACTCAAAGGAATGACACCAAGAATAAAAATGTTCAATAAAATGGGTTGTAAATGAGTCAAGTCGAGCTCGAGGCACATTCAGCTTGAGCATGATTAATTTTGTGGAGTTCGAGTTCGAGCTCTAGATTAAGTCTATGAGTTCAAATCGGCTAGTTTGTTCTAAAAGAGAGAAAATAATATTAATTTAACGTAGTGTTATGATGAGAAATTATAATAAATCACATAATATAAAATATGAATATTATCTTTTAAAAATGTGTAACATGTAGTTGAAAGTTGTGGTTGTAGTTGGTCATGGACTCACTCAGGCCGTATAGAGTTGCTTCATAGCATTAGTTGACCACAAAAGCCAACGTTGAAAGTTGCATGATTTATGGACAACGTTGGTCGTAGTGGTGAACTATAATAGCATCCGTATGCCACATAGGTCAGAGTTGGGAGCTGCATGAGCTTTGGACTACATAGTAGGCCATAGTGTTGAGTCATGATAACGTCTGTAGGACATAAAGACCAGTATTAGGAGTTACATGATTTGTGGACCGCATATGTCTGAATTGATCATGCAGTCCTTAGTTGCGAGCCACAATAATATCTGTAGGTCATATAGGACGAAGTTGGAAGATGTACGACTCATGCAAGCCATAGAGGTGAGCTGCAACAACGTTCTTAGGCCACAGTGGTTGGAGTTGAGAGCTGCATAACTTATAAACCACATAAGTAGTAGTTGGTCACTTAACGTGTTATTGTGGTTCACTATTATGACCTAAATTACAAATCTTCTTGCAATTAATCGAATTACAATGCCCATTTTGGGTTCACAATTATTTCCTCTCTTTTATTTTATTTTTACATTTTAATTTATAATAAAATACATTGGGTGGCAAGAATTATTTCTAAAATTATATTTAAAATATAAAAAAAAATTTCATAAATTAATAATAATAAAGGAAATGAAAATAAAAAATCATTTGATTTCAAATAGGGGGAAAATAATTCTGTATTATATTGTCTGCAAATTTGACTAGAAACGGGCTAATCAGGATGGCCTGCAGGCCTGGTCTTTAATGGCTCAAGCAAATCTTAAATGCTGTGCAGGGGGATATAAGCACTAGAAAATACGGTCCTATAATATTAAAAAATTGATGCAAAATAAGGGTATTTGCTAGGCAACTATTGATCTTGTAAATACCCTTGTGTTGGTTAAGCTGTTATTAGTGAAGATGTGTGACACTTTTTTGGTTGGTCGTACCAATATTCGGTCAGCTCAAAGTTCAACCGATTTGAATGTATATATATAAGCACCCCGTGCTCATATCAGTTAGTCTGCTTGTCAGTGGCCATTCCTTTAAGGAATGGCCAGAGGCCAGGGGACTTACCACTGACAACCAGACTAACTGATCAGATTAATATATAATATGAGCCCCCCAACAAACCTCATGTGTCTAATCATTTAACAGATCCGCACACCAGCAGAATCAAACCTCTGACCCTAGAGGACTTAAAACCGACATAGCATATGCCAACCAAACAGTAGGAGAACACGACATATAATAATAAAGAGAGAGAGAGAGAGAGAGAGAGAGAGAGAGATGTAGATATAAATTTTTTTTTGTAAATATGCATATGCTTTAAAATAAGATAAATGACTTAAATATTCAAATGAAGGGATACAAAATTTATGATTTCTTAACAATCATTATTCCATGACCTTGCTAACCACTCTGAATTACTTGCTATTTACTATATAATAATGCTTGTACCATATTAAATTTCAGCATGCCATATGAAAATTTGAATTAGTCTATCGGATTTTTAAAGAAGACCAATCCAATACATAAATTAGTGTCATTTGATTTATATCATAGTTGGGAATAAATGCAAAAAAATAGATTATTATTATATTAATGGTTGTATTTTTCTATTACAAAAAAATAATGCGACTCAGATAATATATGGTCTCTATGAACTGAAAAGTTATTGCATCAGGAGTAAAATCTAAAACATCTACTCTACTTATAGGGTCATCAGATGGTTGATGTTTAATGTGACTGAAGAATCCAAGACGACCGTCTCTAATCTTGTTTGACATCAGAGGTACTCCAATCATTTCACAGATAGAGTTGTTTCACATTTTTTTCTCTACGTGTCAAGCCACTCATCCACCTGAGCATTCTCATCTCAAAAACATTTAGCTTAGTTTTTGCTTCTCTTTTATAGGACAGTATTATCTGCCATCAAGCATTGCGGGTGTAGCCACCATCTTATAAAATTTTCTTGCTGCAATTGCTCATGATGCCACCAACATAAAACATTATATGTATCACAAACCATCATGTCTGCCACTGAGTAATGAAGTATCCTAATTACATGGTAACAAAATATCTCTAATACCACAAAATGACGTATCAAAACAAGGTATGTTGGAGACTTGACGGTAACTCTGGACAACACTTGCTTGCAATCATTTTATTCAGAATACATTGTTTCTTTTTATATACTTTGTGCATGCAAACATTGTATTTGGGGCAACATTATAGCCATTCTTTCATAGTTGATCATTTTAACTGGGCTAGGCCCCCTAATTTTTTCACTTCTAAGGTTTCGCACACACAGATGTACCACTCAGTATTTGTGTATTTATATGTATAACTCAAAAAGTTCAATTTTTACATATATTACATGTTCCCTGTGTTTCAATAAAGAAATTATAAATGCTCCAATGCCAAATCAACTGTGTTATTTTTTTTGGGCATTCACATAAATACCACCCAATTGTTATGTATTTACATGTCTAACACTTACAATTTATGGTATACATGAATGTTTATATCTAAAAATATTATTATTTTAAATTTTTTTAAAATAAAATATATTTTTTACTAAAATTTACATACATAGAACTCAATTCTTATGTATTTACATATTATTAGATATGACTCATATATCATAAATGGACAGTGCTAAATCGAGAGAGGAGCAGAGCGGAAGATTTAGCGGAAGATTCTATCCAAATCAGTAGAGTTTCTTTATGTGGGTTGGGGTTGTGGTACATGGGTAATTTAGTAATTATATATTGTACCCAAGGTTTCTTTTTATGTTCTTTCTAAGGTTATAAATATGTCTGTATGTAATCCTAGATATTACACCTCATATTATGTATTCTGTACTTTTCTGGATTAGTGAAAAAGCGGCTCTGCTTTCGAGGACGTAGGCATCTTTGTCAAACCTCATTAAATCTTTGTGTTCTTCTAGATTTGTGTCGTTTTTGTTTTTCTTCGCCCTAATTTCTCAACACATATCTAACATCCAAACTTTAACACATATCTAACATCCAAACTTTAATTCTTACTTCCTAACCATCTTCACCTATACATAACAGGCTCATTGGAGAAATTCATCTTTTTATATATAGAGAAATATAAGTGTAAAAATCACAATTTAGGTGTGAAATATATGAATGCAGAAGAGTTGAGAAACATTTGAAAGAATAAAAAAATCTAAATAATTTTATTGAAAATTATTGTTGATTATAATTTAATATCTAATTTTACATAATAAAGATAAAATTACATTCATCTTGTGGTCAAAACAAGAATCTTATTGTACTATTGAACGCACGGTGTGGTGCGATCCACATCATCTACATATCGAGAAATGATTAAGAGAAAATATTACATCAATCCTACACGGTAAATTGATGCATAACATGATACAATCTACGTTGTTGTCCAGGGAAAAATATTTCATCCAAACGTCTGCATGTCCGGACGGATGACCAGCCACCGGTCTCCACGTTGCACGCTGATGACGTGTATAAATATATGACAGCCGGTAGTTGACCATCCCGACGGGCGATGTCCAAAATATTTTCTCTATGGACCAAAGAAATAGAAATCCCCGAGCAATCACTCCAGAGTATTAACTTCTCGGACATTCAAAATTCCTCCTTTCATCTTCTTCCTGCGGCAACGATCAAAATACGGAACATAAACCTCTCGGATCTATAAAAGATCAAAAACATCAACGAAGATCATTTCCCCCCTGCATTAAAAAACCAATCTTTGAAACAGAGCAAGAATTAATTATAACCCGCAGCATTGTACGAAGTACCAGTTCCCACAAACTCCATTCCCGAACCCAAAGATCCAAACCTCGCCACCTCCTCCATACTCCGACCACCGCCATCATCCCTCCCCATTCCCAAGAAATCCCTTGTCTTCCCCTTCGTCGACCGCAGAAGCCCTGCCATCAACATCGACGACGACCCCGCGCTCGCCGCCGCCCCCATCTCCGCCGCCTTCTGCAGCAATGCCGTCGCCGACATATACGCCGCGGGCGGCGGCGGCGGCGCCATCTCCGACGGCGTCTCATCCGATGCGCAGCTGAGCGATTCGTTGGCCGCAGAATCTCGAGTAAGCGCGTCGCAGAACGCGCGGTGAGTAACGAAGCTATCCTTGCGAGAGAACAGAGTTCCGCAATTGCAGCGGTACTCACGGGATCCGCAGGTCTTGGAGTGAGCCTTATGGTCCGACTGAACGGCGTAGCGCTTCCCGCATCGCTCGCACTTCCATTTCTTCTCCCCGTGCTTTCTGCAAAAGTGTTTCTTGATGCCAGTGAGGTCGCCGAGAGCTCGAGCCGGGTCGTGGTTGACGCAGCTGGGCTCCGGACAAACGTACACTCGTTTCCTGGCCGGCGGTCCGCCGGGCGGATGCTGCCGGAGTTTCCAAGGTAGGTTATGGCCGCGCCGGTGGAGCTGGAGGTTCTGTTCGCGCTGGAATCCTCTGTTGCAGATCTCGCAAAGGAAGCGGTTGGGCGCCATTAGGGTCGCCGGAGATAGAGAGATTACCTCCGCGTCAGGATCTGTGGAAGTAAAGTTGGTAGCTTTTCTAAAATAATCAGCTTCAGAGAGCGCAGGGTAGAAGCAGAGCAAACCTGGATTGCCGGGGAGATTTCTCTTCTTCCTCGCGGTCGGTGGGCGGGAATTTGGGATGCCGGACATTGCTGGAGTTTCGGCTGGAAGAAGAAAGAAACAATAATGAGAGAGAGAGTCTGTGCGTCTGAGGATCAGAAGGAAGAACAAGAGAAAACAAACAAGCCTATCTGAATAAATAAAGGAGGTGTTTTTGGTTTCTGCGACTGAAGAACAAAGCTTATTCTGGAGTGTTCAGGTCGGCCATGGAGAGGCATGAAAATGGCGAGGAAGGATGATAGATTAGAGTAGGCCGCCGGGCATGGGAATGGACGCCCGCCTAGTTTTATAATTGTATGTTGTCGGTCTTTCATAAAGATTTGACTTTTTGGTAGTTGAGTCAGTAGCGGCTATTGCAAAGAAATTTTTGTTCAAAAAGGTATAATGATCATCAAAATTCTCTTTTTTTTTTTTAAGTGATATCTTAATTTTTTTATTTTCATGGCACTTCAATATGTTAGATTATAAAATATTATTTGTTGCACCTCCAATCTCGAGATATAACACATATGTGAGAGGCATGTTTTGATAAAAAAATATTCAAACCCCCAAAAAAAGTTATCTTGAATTCAAAATTTTGAGAACTTATAGTCAAGCTCAGATCAAATCATTAAATCACTTTTAAAAGTTTTTCAGACATATTTGGAAGTCAAACAAATATCGAATCTAGCAAGTATATAATCAAATTGAACGTTTTGACAAAGTGAATCCAACGAGCCTGAGAACGTTTAATTCCGACATCGTTAAAACACTCAAATTTTTATCAAACGCAGTATGGTTGAAAGAAACTCTCTGGACCGTCCGATCAAAGTAGTTTATATTTTTGCATCAATTGCACCAAAACACCAAAAATAAAGCCCCACTTCTCTTCTGAGGGGAGAGGAGAGTTTGAGATATGAGGAAAAGATTGAAGCATTGAGGAGCTAAAGTCCAACACCACCACTGTCACCGTCATCGCTCACCACTAACCTTTGTCGACAATCGCCGACTGTCGTTGACTTTTGTCGATCGTCATCGACCACAATTGACCTTCGTTTAAGACCTTGAATTTGTCTTGTTATCGATTCAATCTCAACCATCGCATCCCACTGTCTAGCGTGGACCCTAAAATCCCACCGCTTGATCCAAACCTCAAATCAGACCACTTTCATGTGCCACTTGAACCCAGTCGACCGATTTGAGCTTCCAGAGAGTGCCCCCATGGCTGCATCCACAAGTAATCACACCCATATCTTGTGTAATCACATTAATCCCACGACACACCCGCAACATGCTGGACCGGGTGACTCGCCGACTCGGTAACCCGACATGTTGAACTGATCCAAACCCCTCCAACATAATAAATCATATCAAACTTGATGACCCATTTCAACCTGACTTTGACACAAAGACTCACGCTCTGTGTAACTTGAATTGGAACAGATGACCCGCCCTGACCCAATATTGACTTGAAAACCCGATAGCAGCACTCATTCAATACACCGTGCAGTGACACACCTAGAAGACAGTGTACTGGAGTTCCAGTAAATGTTCCAAACCGCAATCACTCTCAGCTACAAATATTATACCTTGAAGAACTGTGTAGCTCTTTCCCAATTATGAGACAATGACATGTGCGTGTAATCACTAATTCATAGTAGATGGCCATGACTTAACAAGAACCCATGATTTTTTTCCTTTTCAAATTTTCCACATAAAAATTTTTGATGTCTCTATCCGTCACTTTTATTTTCTGACTGTATGTTGAACTTTCGTGCAATATTGATATGATAATTAATGAATCTATCATTTTTATATTTTATTTTTGATATAGATATAAGTTCTGGTGGGAGTTAAATGGGCATGTAAGACCATAAATGCAGACAGGCTAAAAGTTTAGGGGGGAATGGCATAAATGTCTATGATATGCAATTCATAATTGCGGCAGTGACTAAAGGCTTATATGTACACAGAAATTTATGATGGGAATAGAGAAGGGTGGGAGAATGGTAGGTTTTATGAGATTGTTCCACATTATTATTCTTATTTTTATTTATATTATAATTGTAAACCTTTTATGAATTAACAAGCTCCCTTGTAGACATGGTATGTAAATATAAAAATTTTCAAGTACTTAAATATTTTAATGAGCTCAAAAATATTTATTCTTAATAGCATTGGATTCTTCGTATCTAGACGTCATCCGTTCTTTTATTAATCTCATTAAATTTTTACTCGTGCTTCTGCTACTTAATTTCACGTATAGGCATGTAGGAATTAGACTCGACCATTTGCTTGAACTCACCGAAGAATGTAAGGACCCTTGAAGGCAAATTTTTGAACCAACGAAGGACTGGCTCTTTCAACGTGATAGAGAATAATCAACACTTCAAAACATCATTGACATTTAACAAGAATCAGCTGACTCAAACGAGGCTACATAGTCAAATAAATATGTCCTTCCCTTATAAGACTCCAAGGCCAAGATCTTAAACTTCTCACCTCAACTTATGTTATTTCACTTGAGGAGATGTTCTATAATGATTTCTACTTCTTTCTCCTCTCTCTCATCTTTATTTCCTCGCCCCAATATGTTGACCCTTCATCCTCTTTGATGTACGTTTCATCAGCTTCCTTTTCGAGCATTGATGAGAGGACACTTCTTCGCCTTATTCTTCGTAGTTCACATCTGCAAACCACAAATCCTAAAAACGTTATACGAGTCCAAGAGTGAGTTTTAGAGGGGGTTTTGTAAGCTTTCTATCGTGTTTCTTGTGTCATCATCATCATTTATTCCTTCAATTCATTTATTCGTCGCATGACGATCTTTGATGTACTCTATTTTTCACCTCTTATTTTTTTCCTTAGCACAAAGTATAAATTTAAATTTGGGTACTAATTGCATCCTCACCACACATTTAAGTGTTAAATTATTTTTGAAAATTGGCCCCCAATAGGCAGTGAGCTCACACAATCTAGGCTACCTAAAGAGCTTGAATCAACATTTTGATTATGGATATGAAGAAGAAGAAGAAAAATAAAGCCCCACTAAAGCCAAGAGATCATCTCTATTTATGTGGCCCCCAATAATCTCTCCTAATTAAGTTATAATGAGAAAATATATTAAATAATTTTAATACAATACTTGTCTATCCACACAACATATCGACGACAGACCACAATAATGCGGGTGCCAAATGACTCATAATTACATGTTGACATATACGTAAACGATACCCGTCTCTCCACACAACATATCGATAACAAACCATGATAATGTAAATGTCCAATGACTCATAACTAAACGCTGACATACGGTCACATTGGTACACAACAATTGGCACCCATCAAAGAGTACTCGAACTGCAAAAAATATAGATCAACCCTACAACAGATTCAAGACTGATGAGTTCGACAAATCAACCTGACAACTATGCTTTGGAAAAATATGTTTCTAGGTCCATAAAATCGGCTAATATGTTCTTCGGTCCATGTCGGTCATTTATACGTACATATGTAATTTCCTTCAACATTATAATAATAATAATAATATTAAAACCTCAATACAAAGTGAAAGGATTTGAGTTAAACCTGGCAAGAATACTGCATCCGAAGTACAGAGAAGACCAAACTGAAACCAAGCCAACAAAATACAAGTATTCTCTTCTAATTTATTCCAAAAGAAAACAATAATTTCTAATATTTGCATATTAGCCCTTACCCACCATCCACAGCCAAAGAATATTCTAGAAACTTCCTACCAAAGCTGCAAAGTACCAAGAAGTCATTTGAATACGCATCCTCTACCAGCTTTCAAGGTCATGAACTGCAGAAAAAGATTTATAAAGTCTGAAACCTTTAACCAGAGGTACAAATGGTAATACAGCAGAGCAACATTGATTTTTTGCTTTTGTTTGGAAGATTTACATATATACCACTCAATTCCTATGTATTTACATATAACCAAAACTTTCATTTTTACATAAATACTAACTATAGATGGAAAGTTGCATTTCGCTTTATAAAAGTTAAAATAATGATATTTTTTATGTGGTATGAAAGATTGGGATCGTAAAAAAGTAAGAAATAAAGTTTGCATTGAAATATGAATCTTCCAAAGAATAAAGAGAGCAATTTAATCACCTTTCTTTGACCATAGATCAAAATTCTGACAGAAAAGAATCCTAAATTTGAATCTCTCAAGTATGGTGCAAACACATTAACACAATGACTGACTAGAAATTAGAAAAACAAATGTATGTGTTATGGTGATTGAAATGATGCAAATAATTTCCAAGAACTTTTTCTTTAGGGAGGATGAGTGTGTTTAAATCCAGAACTTCAAATTTCTTTACTTTATTTCCAATCAATGTGCTTTAGACCTTCAATGCTCTATGTCACAGAATGTTGGCCTTTAAAAGAGAAGCACAAAACTAAGATAAGTGTTGTTGAGATGAGTATGTTTAGGTGGATGAGTGGCTTGACACTTACAAAATACGAAATGAATTTATCCGTGAAAGGGTTGGTGTAGCTCCAGTGGCAGACAAGATAAGCGAGAGTTGTCTTAGATAGTTTGGTCACATTAAACGTCAACCATCTAATGATCCAGTTAGGAAAGTAGATATTTTAAATCCAGTTGTCTTACATGCTACTCTTTCAAACATAGATGCAATGTATCAATTAATAATAAATATTTTAGAACACTTACTGGTACTTATTAAGATGGAGGAGAACAAATCAAATCATTATTACAAAAACTTACATGTTACATTTTAACCCATTATTGGTGGTGTAAAGATGTTTTTTTAAGAAGAACAATAGATTTATCAAAAGTTAATCATAATTATTGGAAGCAAAAATTTATAGGAATTCCTAATCTTTTTGCAGAAAGAGTTGAGAAAAATTTATAAAATAAAGAAGCACATACGATCATATATGAACATTTCAGATATGAAATAATTCTTAATGTTTGTATCGAAACTGTATGTTCGAATATCAAACTTAGTAAACAACTCAAACGAGAAAGAATCTTTAGAGAAAAAACAACTCGGAGCATTTTGTTAAAATTTGCTTGTAATGAATCTCTTTTAAACAGACAAAAAATCATTTCAAAAAGATCGACGATTTACTAAAACTCATCACTCCAGAGAAAAAAACATAATGTTACAAAAACTATAAAGAGAAAAACATTCAAAATGACAATCAGTCCTCTAATAATTATGAAAAGAAAAGGAAGAGAAAGAAAATTATATTAAGTGTTATCGATGTGGTACATTTGATTATTATTCAAATATATGTCCTCTCCACAAAAAGCATTAATGAATTATAAGTTGATGAAAAGTTGGGACATATTTCAATGAAAGTCCTTTTGAATACCTCTGAATCATAAGCTACTAATAGTGAAGACATTTCGACCTTCAGTTTTGATTCTGAAGAAAATCTTGTTGCAATAACTGTAATGATACCAATTACTATAAATCCATTATTGAAATGTCTTATTTATGCTTACAGATGAACAGATGAAGAGATGAACAAAGGGATCAATTAATCAAAATGACATCTAATGCCTCAGAATGTAAGACTAGAGAAAAAAATTTATATATTTTTTAATAAAAAGAAATAGAAACCAACTCTAAATGAATTTCCTATTTATAGTATGAAATATGTTTATCATCGAATATCTTAAAAAAGAGTATCTTCACAAACTAATATTTCTGATTTAGAAAATGAAATTAATGATATTAATGAAAAAATTATTAAAATAAAAATATGTGGACAAGAAATGAATAATAGACTTATTGCTCTTGAAATTACTAATGAGGAATTAGGAGAATGATCATCTAACAGTGGTATAAAAATAGATTTATTTACTGACAGTGAAATGCCGAATTCCTTGTAAAAAGTTATTATGCAAAAATGATTTATAACAATTAAATAAATGCCTAGTTGACGGTGGAGCTGGTATGAATTGTATTAAAAAAGGAATGATTTCTTCTAGATATTTTGGAAAAAAAAACTACCCAAAGAGTTACAGCGGCGGTTAGCAATCGTGCGAAAATTAAAAACAAATTATTCAATGATGTTGTATGTCTTGTTTGTCAAAAATCTCTCTCAAAACACAACACTAGGAACTTAATTTTTAACACAAATTATGCCAATAAAAACTAATACTTCAGGAATAATCTCAGAAAGATTTCCTATCCCTTTGAAATATCAATTCATCACTAATCCTAGAAAGTTTATTATTAATGAAATGAATAGAATTAAGAAAAAAAAGAACTCTTCATATTAATTCTTTAAAAGAAGAAATTAATACTAACCGAATTCAAGAACAAATTCAAAATAATAAGACTCAATAAAAACTTAGCTAAATCAAGAGTTTCAAAATGAAAATTAAGGAGACAATTCATTAGCTTTTTGGGATTGAAAACACAAGGAATATTACCATATGAAGATGGATTTAATGAAAAAAATATACCCGCTAAAGACTGGGCATGTCAAATGGATACAAATTATTTAGAACCATGTAAAAATGAATTAAATGACTTATTAATAAAAGGAATTATATTAAAAAAAAAACTTATTTTCCTTGGATTTGCACTAAAAATTTAAAAAGATATGTGATAAGCCTAGATTAGTTATCAATTACAAATCCTTAAATAAGAACTTAAAATGAATAAAAAAACCCCATCTCTAATAAAGAAATTTATTAAATCATCAACTTATTGCATTCATTTTTCTTAAATTTGACTTGAATCTGGCTATTGCCATATTGAAATTAAAGAAAAAGATTGTTACAAAATAGCAGCTGTTTTGTTTGGCCACTATGAATGAAATGTCATTTCGTTTGGTCTTAAGAATGCACCCTCTGAATTGCATAATATAATGAATAATAGATTTATCAAAAGTTACCCTTATTATTCTTATATTTGTTTATATTGATGGTATCTTAATCTTTTCTAACATAGTCGAAGAGCAATTTAAATATATTAATACATTTAAGTGGTTTGCTAAATAAATGGATTAGTTATCTCAACACCAAAAACAAAAATATTCTAAACACAAATTCATTTTTTATGACAATATTTTTAATTCATTTATAGTTCCTATTAATCACAATATAGAATTTACTAACAAATTTTCTAATGACATTAAAGATAAAAAATAACTCCAAAGATATTTTAGGAACCTTAAATTATAGTATTAATTTTTATAAAAATCTTGCTCAAGATGCAGCCACTGTTTTCTATTGGCCCAAAAAAACACTAACTTAATCTCTTACTCATACTGAGGCAATTTAAAATATTCCAAATAAAGTAAAAAAGCTACCTTGTAGTAATCTAGCTAACCCATCTAAATGTAAAATTATTGAGACGAATGCATTAAATATTGGCTATGGTGGTATATTAAAGCAAAAATTATTCCCTTCTTTCAAGTCGTCTTCACTTCAAATCATCGGAATCCTACTCAATCTAAATATTATGCTCTCAAATTAGAAATGATTACAACAACAAAGCCTTGATCCCACTACGTGGGGACGGCTACATGAATCCTTTTTCTCCATTGCGTCCTATTTAATGTCATATTTTCATTATGATTAGAAATGATTGTTATAGTTAAATCTATTTCTAAATTCCAAGATGATCTTAATATTAAATTTCTTTTACGAACTGATTGTAGTGCAGCAAAATCAATTATTCTTACAAATGTTAAAAATTTAGCTTCTAAACAAGCATAATTATCTGTCTTTGGGGCGATCCACCCCTGATTGTTCTACCTTAATGTTAGAACAAAATCCCTACCTAATGTTCTAACTTAAACTTTTGCATGGATACTCAGGGGTGGATCGCCCCTAAGAGCAAGGGGCATATGACCCTCTTAATTACTCTCGACGAGGTTCTTCCCCTAGGGGAGGGGAAGAGGTCAAGGATATCAAAATTTTTGCACGATCAATTTAACCCAATATTTTTATGACTCATCACAAAATTAATCTGCAAATCAATCAATCAATCAGAGCATTTGACTCTCAATTTATGGAACCTCCATCTAATAAAAAATCGTACACAAAAATTTTTATATCTGAACAAATTATTTACATTAAAGTTATTATTTCTGATATTTTAGATATAAAAGAAAAATATTATCACATTTCTTTTCCATAGGTCCATAGGTCAGCGTATTGTCTAGGAAATAGCTCATTTTATGAAGAATATATATATGATCCTAACGTTTATGGAGCCATCTTAATTCTTAAAAATGTATATGATTTTATTGAACTAAACAGATTTACTATTTATAGTAAAACAACTATTCTCAGAATTCTCAATCATAAAGAACGTGGCCATAACTTATATTAGATCAAAATTTTCAAATACAAAACTCGCAAATTTAGGGCCCAATTGGGGCAATTTATAAGTGTGAGTGCGTTTTTTAAAACGTCACGTTACCGTTTGAATCGCGTGTTTTACCCACTTATCTGAAAATGCGGTTCCATTTTTACACTAAGCGCAGACCGCAAGTCGAACCCTGCGGTCGACTTGCGGTTGCGGGCCGCATTTCAAGATAAGCTGCTTATCCTGAAACGCACAATCTGTCACAATCGCACCCTTAGTTAACAGAGAATTATTTCTTTAATTATTGGACTTATATTGAAGTCATGAATAAAATTTTTTTTTGTCATTAATCCCAAAAGAAAACATCCATTAATGTTCGTAATGCTGATTGAAATCTTATCAAATGATATATCACATTAGTTCTATCAATAATGAAATAATTGAGAAACTATAACACAAATTCTCCTTGCTTCAATTAAATAAAAATATTCTG